TTGCCAAGAAAACCCCAAATGGGGTCATGAAGAGTTGGACATGACTGAAAAGTGACTGAACTGAAAACAAAAGTCCAGCCTGGTTCACTGACTCAGTCATGGTTACACAAGAACTAAGTAACTGATATAGGATTTGAACCCAGTTCATTTGACTACAAATCCAACTCTCTTTCTATAGTATTTCACTGACTCAGAGAAACTACTTTCATAATTTTATCTGTAACTTGAAAAAACATTCAGAGGAGGAACATGTTAAAAAGCAACCACTCAATTCACAGGCTAATAAATCTGTCTTAAATTCATACACATTTTCCAAGTGCTTTAAAAATGCAGTTATCATTTCTAGTTTAGGAGATGGAAATGAACATTAGCAAAAATAATTCTTTTGAAGATTATTCACTCCTTGTAATAAAAACTACACTCCGGGGGGCTTATATAAGCCTTGTATCTCCCTTAGGAGCTTAATAATGTATTTGTTGCATTGAATTGAATTTACAGTTTCCCTCTCAGACATCTGAAATTGAAGGATTGTGATATATTAAACACAGTGAAATAACTTTTTCTATTACCACAATTTACATTTTTTTGCAGCAAATCTACCTTTCCCCCTCAACCCATTACATTTCTTATACTGCTAATGCCTTGAATAAAAGCAATTTGTAGTGCATTTCCTGAAATTTTCATTCATTTTTCAGAAATGGTATCTCAATTGTTTGTTGTGAAATGAACCTTGAAGAGCAGATATTCCCTTACAAGTTACCAGCAGAAAGTCATGACAGCTGCTTTATTTGGTCTAACCACATGCTTTGTCATTAATATTAAAGTAAGACCCACAGTATCCTTCTTCATTTATCCTCTCCCATTGTTCGAAACATTTGCCCTTAAGTCACCAGCAAAGTACAAGAGAAGGGTTTTTTCTTTTTCTGTAGTTTTACTCTACATTATTACTAATCCTAAAAGTGATTTCCTTCTTTTTTTTTCACCACCAAAGATTAGGTGATTTAATTTTTTGCACTTAGAAATGTTGATTTAGAAACTCTAGGAATAATTTTCAAAAGAATTTCTATGTTACTAGGTTGGTCCATCCTTCAAGCACTGGATACTTGTCTTTTGAATCCAGCTATTCAAGCTATAGCTCATAGATTATCATAAATTATTGGTTCAACGATTGCTTTTATCATGAGATAAATCTCAGGTCCTATCTGTCTGTAACGTTTTATGGTATAACAACAACTCAGACTGAATAATACGTTGGTACATGTGATTTGTTATCATTAAAAATAAGATCCTCCCAAAATTTCCACTTAGGAAAAAATCAGTCACCTTACTTTATTTTTCCTCCCATGGAAAACAATACTAAAATATTGAAATAGATCTGTGATCTCAACAGTGTGGGTATTCTGTCCAGTGATACAGATTAGAACCCATTTGGGTCCTCCCGTCTTGTATAACTCATGGGAATCCAGAAAACAAAGATGAAAATATGATCTCATAATGGCTTTCAAGTTAATACAAAGACCCTTCAAATGTTTAGTAAAATGCTGCCTGAAAAAAACATTTTTTTTAAGTCTTTAAATTTAAAATGATAAATCTAAGTAGAATCAGACTAAATAACAGGTCTGTTCAACCCTTGACCCTTAGTTTGTGGTCACATGTGCTTTTTTTTTTGCACCCTTTATTAGGGCAAGGAGTATGAGAAGGGAGGCTGACAGGCAGGGTGTGTGAGTGTATATAGTAATGGCTTGCCAAGTCTGGAAGCTGTGCCTCGTGGCCTAGGATCATGGGAACTAATCCAGCTCTCTTTGTGCTCATTGCTGTTGGCCTGCCTTTGTGCAACCTTGAATCAAGGTCAACAGACAAAGGAGGAAGCTATCTGAACTTCGGGCTAAAATTCAGACCATATCCTGCTATCCATCTGCATTAGCTATTTCCCATCAAAAGCAATTTAGCATTTGCCAACAAAACTGGTGCCAACTGGAACTATCTTAGCCATGAGTCCATCAGACATACCAGAATACTGGGGTTAGACACACCATTTCCTTTCAATTTTAAAACCCAAGTGAAAGTGTTGAGGTCTTGTCATGAATTAGATCAAGTCATTGAAAATAGAACTAGAGCCTAAAATATAGGCCCTAGTGCTATTTTCTAGGATTTAGAGACCAAAGAGAACTTAGAAGGCTAACTAGGCCAGTCCTCTCATTTTACAGATGAGGAAACTGAGGCCTAGAAAGGTTACATGCTCAAGTTTACACAGAATCAGGATTCCTATTCAGGTCCTCTGACTCCATGTCTAGTGATTTCCCCACTATACTCCTTCCTTATGTGATTTTAGCTAATATCTAAAACCTACATCACTTTTTATCCCTTAAGAACATTTGAAATACATGCAATGAATTTAAGGAAAATTGAAACCTTCATCACTGATGGTCGCATCAACTAGTTTACATTTATCAACACATTCTCCTTTGGACTGGTCATCAGGAGATAAATGACATTCGATGCAGCTCCTATAAAAATTATTCAAAAGAAACTATTTCATGTTGGTTGAAAATACTGAATAAATATTACTACACACATACATATATTTATATACATAAATTTATGCATGTATTCATGTCACACACACACACACACACACACACACATTTCAGCCTTACTATGATGCTGAGCTGAGAATTCTTGCCATGGATTTGCCTTACAGTGACTGAACTAAGTTTCCTTGGAGGGAAAAATTCAAGTGGGTCCTGGTGTCTATGTTGTTCTTACATTAATCTTGCCCATAACTATTTGCTTTGTTGCGTACCCCTAATAGTAATTAGTATACAAATGACAAGTAGAATGGAATCTTTGTTAAGTATGTTTTAATTTTTTTTTCCTGGGTAGAGAGGAGAAGGTCTAAACACTAAAAGATGATTTGGGCTGGAAAATCATTTGTACTTCTTTGTAAGAGTCAATCATCTTTGAATAAGAATTAAACAAATATTCAGTACCATTCTTATGGTGTTTCTAAGATAGGTAATAAAATCTCAGAATTGGAGGGAGTCTTATGTAGGAGTGTGTTGTCGTGGAATGACATTACATTTGGTATACGCAGACTTGGGTTTTAGCCCCAGTTCTGTGACTTGATCAGTCATTTGCCCTTTATACCCAGTTTCTTAATCTGTAAAATGAAGCTGTTGGACCCCTATTATTTTAGTCTTCATTGTAATAATTATGATGATGATAACTACCATTTATATGATAATAATTTGCCTGCAAAGTGCTATACAGATGTTATTCCATCTTTCAACAACCCTGGGATGTAGGTGCTATTATTATCACCCCCATTTTGCAGATGAGAAAACTGAGGCAGACAGAAATTAAGTGACTTGTCCAAGACCACACAGCTAGAAAGTGTCTGAGGTGAAATTTGAACTCAAGTCTTCCTGATTCCAAATGCTAAATTCCATCCACTGCACCATCTAGCTTAGCTGCCTTCTCTTTTAAAGGAGAAGTAACTAATTTCCTATAGAGAGATATTTCTTGAACAAGGTTACTCTGTCAGCTGGAGGTAAGAACATAGCTCTCCTGATTACTAACCAATACTCCATCTACTACCACACATAACCTTACAAGGTCCAGCATGGTCTCTTACATATAGTAGCCATTTAAATATTTGTTGATTTTTTATGGATTAAAAAGACAACATGAAAGAAAGAAAAAACTCCAATCCAAACAAAAACAAAAAGAAAGGACATCTTCTATTTTAACTTCCTGAAACCTCTTGTCTGTCTTCAGGCTCCTATTAGACATGGACCAGTGTCTTAAACAAAATTATTAATCTTGGCCTTTTAATGAAAGGTTGCTAAATATAGCAAGGGCATTTCCAAGGACAAAGTCTAGGAATCAAACTCATTCTAAGAATGTTAATACAACAAAGAAATATTTAGAGCCTGAATTTACCTTTCACTAACAAAACAAACAAACAAACAAACAAACAAAAAAGGTTAACAAATTGTTTTCCATGTAACCTTGAGCAGCTATAGTTTTCCTAACAGGTATGCACAAAGCAGGCCTAGCTTGTCTGAAGGTACTACCATTAAGAGTAGCTGCTCAAGAGCCTCCCTCTGCCCCCCACCCATCTTCAAGCCACGTTAATTGTTCATTTCATACTTCATGAGTCACATTTAAAATGAAATCACATTTAAAGAGAAGATGAAAATGGAAAAAAGAACATTATAGGACAGAAAAACCTCAAAAGGGGGGTTTAAGGGTATTTGCAACCATTATAATCATGTCTCTAGGGTTTTTTTTTTAAGTTTTCCTTGGCATGGTGACAGAGAAGTTTTGACACAAGTCATATGTAGCTGCTGAGTCAATATTGGTGTTCTCCCACTGTGTACATCAAAATGCAAATGTCACCATTTGGGTTGCCGAGTTAATGAAAATATGAGCTGTATAAATATATTTACTATGTAAAATGTGGCAAACATTCTTTCATTGTGTAAGCTGTGGAAATGAGTTTGATTTGACCCACTAATTTTGTCCTGACCCCATTAAAAAGCTGGCTGGCAAGTAAAGAAACCATTCTCTGCTAGGAAGGCAGGAGGATGGGCTTTGTTTGTTCATATGGTGTGAGAGACTACACAGGGCTATGGCTGTGTGCAGTGACTGCCTGAGAAAGACCCTAAACAGTGTGTGTGGCCAATGGAACGGTGCTATTGTCAGGGAGGGGCCTCTGAATCTTTAGCCACAGTGGGGCTATAGATAGAAGTGAATCAGAAAGGTCAGGCTGTAGAAAGTAGTGATAAGGAAGTCCCTTGTCTGTTTTGCTCTAAAAGGTACTGGCTACACAAGAGTGTTGTCAGCCTGTCTCTAGGGCGCTCCTTCTGTGTGGCTAGTATTGTAATCTAGAGTGAATCTGATGTTATCAGTGTGGGACATCAGCTCAACTACCCCATGTGAACCCCAAGCAGAAATGTAACATTGTGGTCCTTGACAATCAAGACAGAGAAGGAGGAAAGTGAAAGATAAAGCTCCAGGCTTAGGATCACAGGTGCATGCTGGCCACCTGCTTTCTGGTTAATATTCTGTGACCAAATGTTAGGAAAAACAAGCTGGGGTCTGCTCTGCTGAAAACTCAGTGTAACTTTGGTACCACATAAATCTGACCCCCCCGAAGTATCAATGAAAGGCATTACTCTCAATATTACCGTTTAGAATTACAGGGGTCACCACAGGTAGGGCATTGTTCACACCTAGGGCCTGAGGCCCCGGGGGTGGTGCACACACATTTTCCACAGGAACAGTCTCCTCTTCCACTGCAAAGCATGCCATCTTCAGAGATGCATGAGTCAGTGCTGGTGGTACAGTTGCAATATTCACCAGTCCATCCGCTGTTGCATATACATTCTCCACAGTCACAGTGTCCATTGTCTATAAAATATACCCAGGGACAATAAACCCTAGTTAAACTCACAGGTAACTGGTTTAAAATGATAAAAGGTCACTGTGACCACCCATTCATCCTATTCAATGCTTCTGGTGTAGATATATCTATCTATCTATATCTATATATACATATGCACATATATACATATATGTATGTACACATACATACATACATGTGTGCATATATATGTGTGTAGTCTATATATCAGATATATGTCCTTTGTTTTAATAATAAGAAATGATCTCCTGCCCTTTCCATACTATCATTTCTCATTATTATAACAAAGGACAGGGGAATAAAAAGAACCACATTAGCACATCCTCAAACAACAACAAAGGATAATCATCAACAAGTATTTCCTAATTTTTTAAAATCTTTAACTAGGTATACATCTAT